AGCCGAGCAACAACATCGTTCTGCTCCTACCAAACTGCTTTGTGTTTGACGAGTCTAGTGCACTCTCTGGAGCTTTTTGTGTTGGCGGTGGTCGTTTCACCCGTGCGTTTCTGGATGCGGTCGTTACCTGGCGCCGGGTGAGAGGGTGAATGAACTGAGAGGGTAGGGCTTGAGTGGAAACATCCACCGCGTCTCGGGCCCTCGAGGTTGGACGATTGGTTTCTCGGGGTGGCTCACGCTGGTTCTCAGCGCCCTGCCTCAGTGCCTTTCTTCCCGGAGGTGCATGAGGAGCTCACCAGGTCATGGACGGCACCTTTTACTGCCGGAAACCGACCTGCTGGTTCCTCCTCCCTCACCACCCTTGACGGTGGTGCAGCTAGGAGGTATACAAGGGTCCCCCCGGTGGAGCGGTCGGTTGCGATGCAATTGTATCCTAATACCGCCTCCACCCGGCAGGGCGAACCGTGCCTCCCCTCCCGGGTCTGTAGGTACTCGTCTGGCCTGTCCGGCGATGCTTACACGGCCTGTGGAGAAGCTGCCTCCGCCTTACACGCTACGGCGTTACTGCAGGTTCATCAGGCCAAGGCACTGAGGGACCTGCACAAGGGTGGTCATGATCTGGATGTTCTGAAAGAGCTCCGAACTGCTACTGGCCATTCAAGTTCGGTCATATCCACCGTGTTGACCCGCGATATGACGCGCAGAGTGGGACCCCCAGTGCCATGCTCAAAGCCCGTACAGTAATTACCCGTCTCCGTATTATCATTGTCATTTGCGTCCTCGTTCTCGCCGAACAGTTTCTCGACGTGGTAGTGGACGTATGCAGTACGGTACTCGGCAATCACACGAAGAGGCCATGATAGCAGGAAAGCTGAGGCCAGCCAGTACACCCAGCGTCTGGTGTACCAGGGTGGTCGCGATGGGTTGGGGAAGGCCAGCATGTGTTCCCGAAAGTCGACGTTTTTAAGGTGCATGCCCTCCCGTGCTTCCATGTAGTCGTCCAGACCCTCATTGTCCCCGAAGAAGCGTGCTCGCTGTGTGAGGTAGGCGGTCTCAGCGCGGGCGCTGGCGAAGCTGAAGCACTTGGTGAAGCGCAAGCGAGTGACAGGATGTTCCAACAGGCCCTGCAGCTCTTTCGAAACATCTTTGACACCGAGACATGAGTAATCAAACTCGGCGCTCGCTGTGTGCGTGTTGACCCGTTCATGGTACACCTGTGTAGTCGTATAGGCGTCTCCGTTTCGGTAGCGAGTCACCTGTCTGGTACGTCGTACGTAATGGTAGCTGATGGCCTTCCACCAGATGCAGGGTGTGGCTTGTTGCAACCGCTGTATCCTGTCATACACCTCACTGATTTCCACCTTAGCAAGGTTAGCTGTTTTAGAGTAGCAGTGCCAGCACTCCACCAAGTAGACGATGTACAGCATGGCCAGGAAGGCTACAGGTATATAGACGTAGCCATTGGAACACGGGCTGTCATGGTAAAGTCGGGCATTACCTTTGTAGAAGTAGGCTTGCTCATCAAAAGTAATTACGGTGATGCGGTATAGGGAGCACCAGCCTAGCGTGCCAAAGCAGCCGTACATGAGCAATGTGAGCAGCAGGCACTTCCAGTGGGACTCTCTGCACAGTGAGCCACTCAGGGACTGCTTGAGAGGACGCTGCTATAGGTGGGAAGAGGGAGATCAGATGGAAATATAGGAAGACCAGGGGACAGAGGGTTGTGCAGATGGATTAGAAATTGAATGGGGCAGGGTTCAATAACAGATGGGTTGGAGGATATTTGAACAGAATGGGAGTAGATGCCAAAGCCAAAAAATAAAAACAAAAGCAGAGGGGGCATGGTTGGGGGAGAACAGGAGGGAAAGAAAGAAAATGTAAAAATTAGTTCTGACAGAAATACACTTTTGATACATTGTAGATCAGTGTTTTTAAACTTTTTTATGCCAAGGATCCCTAAATATGATCCTTATGTGCAGGGGCGGCGTTTCCATATGGCAGAGTATGGCAGTCACACACCCTGGCCTTCCCTGCCCAACCCTGGTTGTTTGTTGCCATAGGGTTTTGTGAAACACTGCCACTGCAAAAAAAAAAAAATCATTCTAATTATTGTAATAAAAATAAAAATAATCTTTATATAACAAATATAAATATGATTTTACTGTGTGAAAAATATTAAACATCATATAAATACATTTGTTTTTAATATTATCATTGCCATTGTACAAGAACAAAAACAAATTATGAAAATATATACAGTATGTACCTTTTTTCTACCCACTACTGAAATTATGTTATATGTATAAGAATAAGAACAATTTAAATTCATATATATTTTTATGGCACTTTCCACAATACATACTGTTCTAAAGCAAATTTACTTTTCTTTAGATGACAATGGCAAAACTCCCTAGAAAGATACACAACTATCTTTAAAAAAATTGTATGTTGCAAGAAAGGAGAGACGAGCACTCACTTTTGCCTTCTTACTGTTAAACAACTAGGGCTGCCAATATAATAATATAATAACTATTAAACTCGTGATTTCACAGCAGTCTTTAGAAAGCAGAATGCCTATAATGTATTATTACTTTTACATTTTAAATGCATTTTTAACATTTATTTGCAACCATATTTTTCTACAGACCCCCTAAGCCTCCTTTGCAGCCTCCTGGGGGTCCCTAGACTCCATTTTGAACCCGTGTTTTAGATGATTCAGGGAACTAGTATATTGCATTTGTATTACAACATGCACAGCTGAGTGAAGCACAGTCTGCTATATCCACTCTGACATGCAGCAGAGAAAACTCGGTAATAGATCATTCTCCTGAGGGCTGAATACATTTCCTGGCTGCTCGTAACCAAAACCATGTCTCCTTTTAAAACGCTCTGTATGGCTGTGGAGGGGAAGTCTAGAAGCTTTTAACATCACTGAGTGCATCATCTCGACTAAATGCATATGGATCTCTACTGCCTAGTCTGACCCCAGTGGCGGCTTGAGGTATTGCGGCCATATGGGCAAAGATGAACTGATTCCAAACTAGCAGGAGGGAGAAAAAAACAAACCAAAAAAATGGTATGGCACAAAAAGATAAGGTTTTTTATGGTTGGTCTGCAATCATTGTTTTTGTCCTATTTTTGTCCTTTTACCCTGCTGTCTCTTCTCTAGCAACATCACATACACACTCTCTAATACACACAGACGCTTACACACATAAATCAGCTAATATTACGAGCAATGCCCTTGCTGTGAGAAACTGCAGCACTAAAAGCAGGCTGCAGCCCAAGCGTGGCATGGAGGCTACGCTCCTCTTGGCAGGAGTTTAATCAACGTGATCTCATGATAATTCGTATGTATTTTACGTAAAATGTGGTTCTATAAAACGTACATTTACTTACGTTTTTACAGGCACTAAAATGTACAATACTTACGTATTTTCAGCCTCTAAACGTACGAAACTGACGTATTTTCAGCATTTTAACGTACAAAACTGACGTATTGACGACACCTAAAAATGAATCCTTATGAATATTGAAATCGCGGCATTAATTTTATTAGTTTAGTTGTCACATTAATTAACTTGTTTTCAATTGCTTTATTAAATTGTTTACTTATGAAATTATAACATTTCGTTTTGTTGTGATTTCTGCTGCCAGCTCGTTTCCAAGAATATGCCTACATAATTTTAAACAGGACTTCACTTTAAACCTTAAAATAAATAACATTTCTGCAATCGTTTAACCTTTACTTGTCATGTAATGTTTACTTTGATTGTCGTAGGCCACAAAAGGCGTTTTCTCCGACATGCTGTGACTGACAATAGAACTATAAAATACACCAAAAACGCAACATAATTGCGAAATGAAACAATTTTATTAGTGCGCTGTAATCCAAAGCTTCCGAATCCATACGACTGCGAGGAACAGACCCAAATCCAAGCCTTTATTCGGCGATCTTCTTCTCCATCCCGAGCAGCGAGTCCAGTCAGTGACCATAAGCAGCAAAGCCCGCGCTGACTGTAGTGTAGGGATGGGCGTATCGATCCAAAGTATCGATATATCGATACTGACGCGAGTATCGAAAGTATCGATACTCAAACAAAAAATATCGATACTAAGGTGTGTTTTATTTACCAGTGATTTTGTTAATTTAACAAAAATATAATGCGTACAATATGCATCGAATTGGACGAATAACCTTTGTTAGCGAGTAATTGTGTAGGATAGAACTATTTTCCTGCTCATCTGGACACGCAAATGTTGCAAGACAGAACCAATCAATCATAGAGAGCATTCACTCACTCACTGCTGACAGTGCATTCAAACAGGGCTGCTTTTCCCAAAAGTATCATAAGAAAGCATTAAAGCTTTTGGTAACGGCAGCCCTGAACAATGCTTATCAGAGGACAGAAGGACAGAGTTAATTCACAATAAACAAACTGAAATTGTAGCCTACATAGTTTGTGCAATTACAGTTATTTAAATTGAACGTTGAAATATATAAGGCGTATTGAATGTTAAAATGCATTTTAAACAAAGTTAAGTGCTTATTATTACCCATTTTACTCTTAGTAATTTAATAATTTAATACATTTCATCATTTAAAAGTTTAGTGCAGAAGTATCGAATCGGTATCGATATCGACGATACTGCCTTGAAAAATATCGGTATCGTATCGAAAACAAAATAAGTGGTATCGCCCATCCCTAGTCTCAAGTCACTGGATCTCAAGTCCAAGTCAAGCCAAGTCATTTTCTTTATTTAGTCAAGCAAGTCACAATTCCTTAAATTTGCGACTCGAGTCAGACTCGAGTCAAGTCATGTGAAATTTATTATGTTGTCCATTAGTGGGATTACGGTTAGCATTGTTTGTTTAGGGTAAAATGTTTGTAGTAATGATAAGACTACTCTGCACATTACATATGTTAATACAGCCTGTTAATCTGCAAATGTATAACAGCTTGTATTTTATTCACTGTAAACTTTTAAATTGCTTTACAGGAAAACTTATTATGATGGTGCAGTGGGATTTGTAAATGTGCATAGCAATCACTGGAAGTTTGTGGTATGCAAAACCAGTTGTAAGTTAAAAATTTGAGTCATTCCATAGTTTTAGTACTGTTAATTCAATGCTAACAGTAATACTGTAGAGAACAGTGCCCATATTCACAAGACATCTTAAGGCTAAAAGTAGCACATAACTCACCGATTTAGGAGAAAATCTTAAAAATAATGGCAATTATTGATTTTATTGTCAATTTTTGCTCTAAGAGTATTTCATAAAGCGTTTTAGCTCTAAAAATAGCTCCTAAATCTGTGAAAGGTTAGGAGTAGTGAAGAGGACTCCCAAGTCACTAAGATCAAACCACAAACTATCCTAAAATGGCTGTTGCTGGCAATCTGCCTCTGAATGTAAACATTTTAGAAACATAATGTCATTTTAAAAAGGTATCGCCTTTGGTTTTGGAGGTTATCCCAACTCTAAATTTTCCTTTGATTATATCCTTGTTTTCATTAACCAGTTGGGCAAGAAGTAACAGCTGTTCTTGCGTCCAGGTTATTTATTTTTTTATTTTACGTTTGCATATATTACTATCAGCCATGATTATTGTAGAGGAAGCATGCTACAACTCTATATTACGCTGGTTGAGGTGGCCAAATATGGACAGGATTCCGGTAAGAGAATCAGGGATTGGAGAAGGGATTCTTCACAAAGATTGCATTTATTGAAAACTCTTTGGGTTGTCATCTGCAGCAGTTACACTTTGGCAATGATATCTGTATTAATGGTCTAAAAGAACAATAAAGAAATATAATTACAACCATATTTTGAGAACCATTTAAACACTGACATGATAATCAACCATACAGTATGAAATAAACACTGATTAGACACTCAAGTCTGCATCCTTAAAGGGGTGGTTGACTGGTTTTTTTATAGGCTTGATTGTGTTTATGGGGTGCAGTCTAACATGTGTTAATGCTTCATTTGTTAAAAAACGCATTATTTTTCACATAATTTACCTTTATTCCACACCGCTCTGTCCCTTCTCCTCTGAACGCGCTGATCATTTCCTGCTTTTATGAAGCCCCTCCCTCAGAAATACACGATGGGCTCTGATTGATTAGCTGGCCCAGTGTGTTGTGATTGGCTAAACCGCCTCTAGCGTGTGTCTAAACGTCCCGCCCCTCAACATAGCGGCATGTGCTCTGTTTGTATTGTAAACAATGACGTTGTCTATATTGCTTATCAATTTGAGCCCGATTGAGACGCAGAGGATATTATTGAAGAGGATCGTGCAGAATCTGTGCAAGCACGGCTTTTAATGGTAGGACTAAGATTTTTGTTTGTTGTCTCATACTTTTAGATACGCTGTTATTTGTAAATGCTAGTGCTTCTGCTAGCTTTTAATACACGGTTTTATTCTGATTAAAGCTTTAATACAATTCGGCAACCGCACGCACGTCCATGTATAATGCTTCTCATAGCTATAGTATGTGAAAATAAGTGTATTCACTGAGCTGATGATCTGAATGAGAGAGAGAGAGAGAGAGAGAGAGAGAGATGCAGAGTGTGTGCAGAGCAGGGCGAGGCCAGGAACAGGATGAGAACACTGCTTTAGAACATTTTGAAACTTGTGAATCCATTAGAATCGTTAGAAGACAGGATCGCGATTCATATATGAATAGATTTTTACGTGCACCCCTAGTTTTCTCTTCCTCTTCTCTAAAGCAGCACAGCATGGCCTCGCCCCCTTTGCTGCGTGTTCCCAGAGGCGAGGTTTAAGTAAAATTCTGGGTTCTTGACGTAACGGACCTGGGAAGTAACTTACCAGTCGTTTTTGTAGGCATTAAACTGCCAGAATTTTAAAAGACGATATCTCTGTTTGCATTGAACTTTCAGCTTCGTAACTTTGCAGATATTGTTTATGATCAAACAGCAACATTACACACTAACTAACATTAAAAAAGTGAAATCGCAATCAGCCATCCCTTTAACATTAATAACAGCCTAATCAATGCAAAAAGGCATGATATAGTAGTGCAATGATGCGTTATTAATGTAAACACACGTGTGATGCAGTATAATAATAGAGCCGATGCTAATACTGAATAACGCATTTCTCTCGCGGCAAATTACAGCCGCAACGGTGCTCAAAACTCGCCGATGGTAACCGCAGAACAATCGCGGGACATCAATAACATACATTAGATAGACATACATATACAGATGTACTTACATCAAGGCATAAATGCATTATACAGAACATAAAACAAACGTGCAGAGATGAGCATTCACCAAACTGTCTTCCTGCATGTCACACTGTAAAATCAGTCCGTGTGGACAACAACTTTGGTTCCTAGGACAGGCTTTCGTACACAGCCGCCCCCAATTATTTGACAGGATCATTGTAAACACAAAGAAAGTCTGTCTACAGTTTCTATGGCTCTTCCTCAAAGTGAGGAAGTGGAATCAACCTAACAACTGGGCGAGTGTAGGATTTCTCATGAACTCTGTCTCTGACACGAGCAGTGCAAATTTTTCCGTCAGGTCCAGCCAACGTCTCAGTCACTGTGCCTACAGGCCAGAGGGTGCGAGGAAGTTGGGGATCAACAATGAGAACCACTTGGTCCACAGTCAGCTCTTTGCCATCCTTTCTCCACTTATGCTGATCCTGTAAACTTGGGAGGTATGAAGGCAGTCCAGAAATGATCTGCCAACACCTGGCTGTGTCTCCATCTGCGTCTTCCGAGAAGGTAGGTAGAGTCAAATAAGACTTCAGGTCGGGAGGCATCGCAACGGCCCATAAGGAGTAGGTTCGGAGTCACTGGGTCCATGTCTGAAACATTGGAAGATACATAGCCAAGAGGCTTGGCATTTTTAATTTAGAAAAACATGCTAATGTAGCATCTGGACCAATCAAACACACAATTTTTCATTTGATTTAACAAATCAGTTCTTCATTAGATTAACAAATCGTCACAGTCCCCTCACCCAATAAACTGGATGCCAGGAGGTCTGCAACGACACCAAACCATGGCAACCCTGACACCAGATACATTCACGACCTCATGGAATGTGAGCAGGGAAAATCACTGCATGTTCCACAGCAAGAGGCAAATGCACAGTAGAAATGGACTTTTCTACTAATTAATTCATACTCGACCTTTCCATTCATCAAGACTCTCTGACTCAAAACTGGTTCTTTTCCATCAACCGACTTCAGCAAAGATCAACTGGAAACTTCAGATTACATCAAACCTCTCTTTCAGACAGATGAGACATGCAAGTATCAAACTTAGTCTTATTAATTGATACATTAGGTATCATTTGCACCTTTTTACAAAGGTGTGTTTGAACTAAGAATCTGATGTTTCCCTCGGGTAGATCTGCTGAATATGCAAATGGTTCTATAACTTCATATTCTTATTTCTTATGTAGTTAATAAAACCTTACTTGTATCACACTTGACGTGGTTCATTGTTTGCTACAAGCTTTTGTACAATTGTAAAGTTAGGAAGTTATTTCCCTTAACCAGGAAATTAACGTTCTTAGAATTGACAAGACAGTTGACCCTGAGAGGTCAGCTAAATATCTACAGCGGATCTAAAATATTCATAATTAATTATAACTAGTTATGATTAATTATTCATATTTCCCATGAGCTGATTCGTTACACTAATTACATGATAATACGGTTATCTCATGTCAACACTCATGTCACGCCACTTTAAAATACATTTTCTGTATTGTTTTCGCTGACTAATTAATCACAGTTTAAATGTTCAGTTTGATCATTTAAATGGTCTTACCTGAAAATATCAACCGGCGAATACTGCAACATTGCTGCGTATCCAGTAGACATCTGGTTACTGGTGAGCGCATTCCTCTGGGATTGGATCTGGAGTCTTCTCTTGTATTTGTATCGATGATTAACCATGTGGATGGATATTGACGGCCTTCTGGGCCTACCAGTAGGTGCAGCAGGACCCTTCTGGCCCATATCTATGAACTGATAACCACCGATAACACCCATCCCTGCTACACATCTTAACAGGTTTATTTATTTCTTGCACTTATCAGTTATGTTTTGTATCTGTATAGCAAAGGTCAAATTAGTATCCATCCCTACCCCTAAAAATCTTATATTATCAAATGGAATCCTTGATTCTGATTGGTTGCGTTCAAGCTAACGTTCGAAGCCATTGTAAATTATTCTACAAACATACACCATACATCTCATTACATCAGTATTAATGTGCCACTGCATCTCTGTGTTGCTGTGGTTCCATGTACTGCAGCAAAATTTCCTGTTTATTATTTATCTGATGATGTGTTACGGTAATAAACAGAAGATTCAAGCGCAAGTGCACGTAAAACAGTTTATTAACAAACTTGCAGGAAACAGAACACAAGGAATGGTTTCACGGGTGCAACCGGAGATAATCCTGGACGTGCTGATACAAAGTTACAGGAATCCAGTGGTAACGACAGCTACAGTCCAGAGCACGAAACACAGACTGACCGGCATGAGAGCTCTGCCAGGGCTTGAGTTCACACCTCTACCACAACGATCTGACAACAAGAGGTAGGAAGCAACTGATTATATAGGTAAGTTCATGAGCCACAGCTGAACCTGATCTGCTCATCAGCGAAGGGAACACACACAAGACAAGACAAGAAAAAGATGAAAGAGATTATGCTGAGAGAGAACCCAGAGATACTGCTGTCTGACTACAGTGGACCAGAAGACAACAGAGTCCTGTGTAACCGGCTCTTCTTTACTAAACACCCATCATCCTGGCACACCGTCCTCTGCTCCACCATGACATGTATGAGAAAAGGAGACATTAGCAAAGGCAGACAACTCACTCTAGAAGGAGAGAATGACACAAAGTTGATTGTGAATCTTTATCATAATGGCACAGTCATGGTCCAGGGACCGGAATCCAGCCTCAATGAATTCCAGAGGAGCTTAAGAAACCTTAAACAGGAGGTTCAGAAGATTAAGAAAGATCCTGAAATGAAGAGCCACACAGTAAAAGTGCCCTGCACCACATCAGTTACCACCTCTGACACCAGCTCAAGAACTCCTCAAACACACAGACACACCAGCACTCCTGCGTCTTCTAAGATAAAGGCTTTGAGAGATAACATCGCTGAGCTGGAACATGACTTCTTTCTGTTTAAAAAGGAAACTACCAACAATCTCCATCATCTGCTAAACCTGACCAGCCACCACATTGTGCAACAAATTCAACAGCTCTGCTCTGCTGTAAGACATCTGGAGGAGGGCAATCAAGAGCTGCGCCAGTAGCTGAGAGAGGAAATGTCCAGAAGAGAACAACACGGCCACACACTGGAGAGACTGCTGGAGGAGACCAGAAACCAGCTACACAAAAAACACCACCAAGAGAATGTCACCACTCAGTCACACAACACCCCGACTCCTGAACACACCACAAACACAGCTCAACATCGGCAGTGTATCAGCTCACAGTCTCTGAGCTCCTTCACTCCTGCAACCCCTCACAACCTCAAGAGGAAAGAGAGCAGCAGTACATAGAGTCATCCACCTACTAGAACATCAGTACCATTCATGAGCACCAGCAGAGAACAGAAGAGCAAAGACAACATTGTAATACTCTGTGATTCCAACGGCCATCATCTTGACCCCAGACGACTGTTTCCAGGGAGATCTGTGAAGAAGTTCTGGTGTCCCATCTCACACTCAGCTTTGAGGCTGCTGCGAGACGATGTGTTAAGCATGGGATACACTGCACAATTTTTGGCTGTCCCAGACGAAAGATTGCCTTCGTGAAGCAATCGTGGCGATTTCTGTGATCGTGGCTCTTAATCGTTGGTCCTATGTCGTACAGTGAAAGAGGTTCAAAGACGTGTGTTTTCCCGGTCTTGCGACCAAAGATAGCCTATGATAGTTTTCTGACAGAAATTCAGCATGATCAACGCACAGTGTGTTTGCTGCAACGACCTGCGTCTACTCAGCAGCCAATGAAATTGCAACATGAAATGACGTATTGATCCACGCTACCAGCGGCGCTACAATTTCAATGCCATGGAGGCAAAAAAAGTAGAAGGTATACTGGTATGTGGGATACCCATAAAGAACAAATTCTTGTTGAGTTGTGGCAGCATAGGGCATGTTTGTACGATGTGTCCTCTAGCTGCTATAATGACCGCACCAAAAAGGACATAGCATGGAAGGAGATAGCGGAGGAACTGCAGCTGCCAAGCTCCCTGTGCAAAACTGGCATCCCAAGTTGTCCTCTTTTCCCGAGCCATGAGCGGGTCCATATTGCTCTCTTCTGTCGGCGCCTCTTCTTTGTTTCAGCGCACAAGAAAAGCACAACTGCCAAAGCGTGATCCATCTTGATGTATTTGTTTACCACTAGCGCATGCTGATGACGTTGCGCTAACGTGTGTCGCAGCCGTCGCAGCCTACGATTCAATAGGTGTCATCATCGTACAGTCTACATGCTTGTCGTACCCAAGTTTAAACGATTCATGTCGCACAGTGTGATAAAGTAATGATCTTATAGGATTGCTAAAATCGTGCTGTGTATCCCGGGCTTTAGGTGCACCGTCACACATCATTCTTCACACTGGAACAAACTACCTCAGTGCTAGAAAGATAGATGTCACTAAAGCCCTGACCAACGGGGTGAGAACAGCTAGCAGGATCTACCACAGAGCCAAAATCATCATCTCAACCCTTCTACCTCACAGAGACGTGCCACAAAAGACCATCAAAGACCATCAACTCAATCAATGTGGAGATAGCTGGAATCTGTGCTTCAATGACGAATGTCCACATAGCCGACCATCAGCGCATTACCCATGAGCATCTATATGACCACATCCACATTCATCGAGAGGGTATGAGACTGTTTGCAAAGACCATCAAGGAGACAGCCCTGAGATCAATCAAACAGCCTAATGTTAAAAACGGAAGAGATTCAGGAGGAATCATTGTTTGGTTCAAAGACCATCTGTGGCAGTATATTCAGCCCGTGAAAAAGGGAAAAACACATATTATAAAAAAGAGATTTTGTGTTTAGATGAGGACCTGTACCTGTGTTCCACATATATCCCCCCATATGAGTCACCTTATTATAACGAAGACATCTTCTCAACCCTACAATCAGAGATCAATTACTTCCAGTCTATAGGTTCAGTTCTATTAATGGGGGATCTGAATGCCAGAACAGGGAAGGAAGTGGACTACATCAACTTGGATTGGAGACAAATATATAAACAGTTCACTTATGCCGAGATCACACTGCATGATTTTAGCCGGATTTTTCACTCGCCGACAGGTTTTGCGAAATCGCAGACAAATGCCCGAAATCGGAGGAAAATCGGTGCTCGTTCACGCAAGTGACAATAAAGCAGTGTGAATTATCAAAGACGTGATCTGAGGGAATCGCCGATGCGTCGCCGATGCCCGTGAAATATTTGGCATGCTAAATATCTGGAGCTGTTGGCGATTCACAATCACGCTGTGTGAAATGAGTTCTGACTGAAAAACACATCGGCGATGACCTACAGCCAATGAGAGAACAAGATACAGGGCAGCGGGAAGTTTGGGGAGGAGTTATATGAAACGTAGTTTGTGGACCAGCAATTGCCGCCGGTTGTTTTTTATGTCAGCAGGTTGAAGCGACCCCAATGATGTGATATTTAGGCCCTGGAATATGAATTGTACCAGGAGAACCCTGCCAAAAAAAATTTGTATTTTACCCCCTGAACGCGATTTTTACTGGGGGACCCCCTCGAAAGCAATTGGGCTATTTTCAGGTTAGTTTTGAGTAGTAATTGGGCGGGTTTTGTAGCAAAAACCTGGCAACCCTGCACCAGACAGCGCTGTTGGCGGTTCTTCCTATTGTGAAGTCATGCAATGTGAAACCCCCTGTCGCCAATTCATTGTGCAATGTGAACACCGCAGCAACTGAATGCTACCCCAGATAGTCACGCAGTGTGAAAACTACGGCGATCCGACGAGTTTGAAAATCGTGCAGTGTGAACTCGGCATAAATCATCAACAAAAACGTTTGCCAAAACACGCCAGAATTATGACAACACAGTAAACAGACATGAAAACAAGTCCTGCACCTCTGCAAAAGCCTGGGCCTATACATAGTTAATGGCAGAAGAAAGGGTGACTCCCTGGGTCGATTTACATACTGCTCACATCTAGGCAGCAGCAAAGTAAGATCCATTGTTTCACAGTGATGCCACAGCTGCCATTATCAGACCACAGTCAGGAAATCATCTTCCCTCTTCAGACCAAAAAGTTAAATTATCCCCCCCCCCCCTCCCCCAATTTAAAGTATTCAAAGTATTCAGACCCCCTCAAATTTTTCACTCTTTGTTATATTGCAGCCATTTGCTAAAATCATTTAAGTTTTTTTTTTCCCCTCATTAATGTACACACAGCACCCCATATTGACAGAAAAACACAGAATTGTTGACATTTTTGCAGATTTATTAAAAAAGAAAAACTGAAATATCACATGGTCCTAAGTATTCAGACCCTTTGCTGTGACACTCATATATTTAACTCAGGGGCTGTCCATTTCTTCTGATCATCCTTGAGATGATTCTACACCTTCATTTGAGTCCAGCTGTATTTGATTATACTGATTGGACTTGATTAGCAAAGCCACACACCAGACAGTCCTCCACAGCACCCAAGTAGAGAACATGATAGACTCATTTCTCTTGACTACATTTAGTGAAGAGAAGAGAAGTATCAATTTAGCAACTGAACAGTTAACTAAAATCTTTTCTACAATGGTCAGAAAAGCCCTCAGAAAAAGAAAAAATTACAGATGTAAAAAAAGAAACAGCTAAAGATGCTTGGTTCGATAAAGAATGCCAAAAACTAAGAAAAGAATTACAATCATTATCAAATAAAAAACAGAGACCCAGCAAACCAACAAATACGAGCCACATATCAACAAACTCTTAAAATACACAAGTCACTATTAATCACATAATCAGATAACTTTTTTC